ATAAGATTCAAATGCAGTAAGTACACTATACAAACGCAACAGAGGGTCTTGTGGCACCTTTGAGACTAACAGAAGTATTGGGAGCATAAGCTTTCGTGGGTAAGAACCTCACTTCACTTGCATCTGGTGAAGTGAGGTTCTTACCCACGAAAGCTTATGCTCCCAGTACTTCTGTTAGTCTCAAAGGTGCCACAGGACCCTCTGTTGCTTTTTACAGATTCAGACTAATACGGCTACCCCTCTGTTAAATACTATGTGTATCTTCTTGCTTAATTTTATACAGAATTATAAATACTTTAAAAACAGCTAATGTAACAATTTTTAAAAATACTTGAACAGTTGCAGATATTCTGCACTGTGTCAGGACCACATGCTGCATGCTTTGTTCATTCTCGCAAACCCACTGATTTGTGGGGTATGACTTATGGGAGCAAGGCAGTGCTTAATTTGTAATGGAAGAGCTGCTGGGGCTCAGGCAATTAGATGCTGGGGCTCAAGCAGTTTTTTTACTTTCATAACTGACGTGGCAACCCCAGAGGTGTCAGGGCCGTGAACTGCCAAGACTAGAGGTGCCTCGGCTCAGCCCCAGCAAGCCCTGACACAAATAAAACACTGGAGCAAGGCAAGCTGAATTCGGTCCTGTCCTGCTCTCACTGAAGCAAGTTTTCACTGACTTAAGCAGGAGCAAAATCAGATCTGTGTCCATTTATTTCATTCCCTGACAGAAGGGTTCTATATGCTAGAGTTAGTTACTCTCCCTTCCAAAAGTTGTCTACTATTGCAGTTTCTCTGGGGACCAAATAATGTGGATGCATATGAAATAAAAAGAATCCAGATACCCTTACCTCACGTTTCTGCAGAGCACCCTCCGCTTTTATAGCCATATTGTATGAAAGCTGCAGTGGGCTAAAATCTCTATCACAAGAAGCAGATTAGGTCTTTTACGTCTTCACTGGTGAGTGATCCTGATGGAAATGAGCCCAAACAAGATGAGAAATGATAATCTCCTTTAGAAGTGGGAGTGGGAGAAAATATTAATGCAGCAATGGAACCCTGATCTCTGTGTGGGGGAGTGTTTCTCTCCCTTCTGCTACCTCATTGCCTCTCTCTGGTAGGTAACAGACTAACAGTACCACCGCAGTGTGATTGGCAGGAAAAGGAAAGTTAGGAACTGTCTACAAATGTTCTTATTTTGTACTTGGAGGGGGGGGGAATACCCGTACATACACCTTAAATCACAACCATGAAGATAAATCCTAGCAGATCTAAGAAAATTGTGTTCTAACAGAACTAGCCCTTTGTTGAGGAGCACTGAGAAAGCCCAGGCTCTCCTCTCATAATGGAAAGTGACATTGCCTTGAGTCTCACAGCGGGAAAGAAATCACCCACTGCCAAAGAATCTTGAAGCATTCCCCAAGTTACTGACAAATCACAACACACTGAAGGGGGGTAATGGGGCACATACCAATGCTCCCATAAGATTATCACTGACATAACTTGGCCCACACCCTTTTCTGATCTCTGTTTCCCCTTCTTTTCCTCCTATACATTCCTCGCTTGATAATTGTTTTTATTTCTTTAGCAATTTATTATTTCCATTCTATTATTTCAGGCCCTGATTCAGGAAAGCAGTCCTGCTCAGGAGAGCTCTGAAACATATGCTCAATTAAGCATGTGCGTAAGTGCTGTCCTGAACAGAAATGGATTTAAGCTTGTGCTGACATGCTGTCCTGAGTTGGGGGCCTACTTGCTAGAGCTATGTACACTGATATGAATTTTTACCTGTGGTGGACTTTTTTTCTACTATTGATAATCTGAGATGCTTAGAGGCCTTCAGTTATTGCATATGGGATATTTTATTCTGTTTTTTACTTTGCATATGCTTCTACCTTGTCAATGATGTATCCACAAATAATTACTGATTTAGTATTGTCTAGATTTCTGCAGAACATGTTTTAGGAAAGAAAATGTACTATAGGCAGCAATCCTCTCAAAGAGAGCCTTAAATCCTTGAAGTTATTCACATACTTAAGGGCTTTCCTGAATGAGAGCACAGGCCCCATTCCTGCAAGGTACAGCAGGCAAGTGAATGAGTGCACCTGAGTCGAACTTCACTGGGATGCTGTGTGGGTGCAGCAGTCCCCCCACATGCTAGACATTGCAGAATCAAGGCCATGCCTGGGGCAGGGCCGGCTCTAGGCACCAGCAAACCAAGCACGTGCTTGGGGTAGCACATTTTCAGGGGCAGCATTCCGGCCATGGTTTTTTGTTTGTTTGTTTGTTTGTTTTTTGTTTGTTTGTTTTTTGCTTAGGCAGCAGCGCAGGGGGGGTGTCCTGGGACCGCTGTGGTTCGTGTCGGGGAGCAGCGCCCGCACCTTGTGGCTGGGTTGAACGGGCTCCGAGCGTGGGACACTCGGGCTGGGGGCCACTGGGTGGGGGGAGCTGCCTGCAGGTGCCGCAGGGCGGCCGCCCCCCAGCGCCACAAGCCGGGGCTGGGTGAAGCGGCCCGAGCCGCCTAGGGACTGCAGCAGGGGGGCCAGGAGCAGCAGCAGCAGCAGGGCCATAGTGGGGACCGGTGTCCGGGG